CCAGTTGTTTAGTTCCTCAGTAACATTTCTCAAAATTCTAAAAAACAAAAGGAATACCTAGGTATATTGTTTTATTTTATGGCCTATAAATCAATTGCGAATTAATCAGTGGGAATTATTTCCCGACATTTCAGCTCCTTGAGTTTTTCTAAATCATTCAGGTGAACCTGAATGGTTCACCTGAATGATTTAGAAAAATCAATCAATTTTTTACCAGGATTTTCTTATACATTTCCTAAAGGGGAAGTTCTTCGATTCTTGCCGTTACTTTCTAATAGTTTCATAAAATCGTTGAACCTAAAAAAACTTTGTAAGACACATTAGAATATACGTCATAGAAACATGAGTAAGAAACAGTAAGAAGGACAGACATGAAGATCCCAGATCAATTACTGGAAAAACACTTAAGACTAGAGTGAGGAGCAATAATATCAGTGTCTATATAACATCCGTGGAACATCCAAGATGTTGTAAAATGGTCTAGAGTCAGAAAAAAACGTGGAAAGACCACGTTGATAGGATGGGTGATAGTAGGTTTGCAAAGATTGTAAAGGAAGGGAAAGCACACATCTGCAGACACCCGAAAGGCCTCCCAAATGCTATAATAAAAGTTGAACATTGGAATTGTAATTTGGGCTACAACTATGAAAAAGAACATTTTTTATTTTCGGTGTGCAGAAAAGTTATGGATTCAATTTATTCAATTTTGTAAGTGACGCCTTTAATGCTAGAAAAGAAACAACTTTGGTATGTTCAGTAATTCATTGTTTTAATATGTCTGTGGATGCTTATGTAATTTTTGGCATAGATAATTTAAATGTAATTTTTTTCTGCTAGGGCAAGTCAGCGAAACTTGGCATATCTGTAAAACTTAAATGATATCTCAGATGTATTAAAATCTTGCCATTTTCTTATTTTACTACGAGATTAATGACTTGTAGAAGTGTCTTATATCATTAACAAAAATAATAAAAATAAGTGCTTATTTTCAAAATTAGAAAACCAAAACTAGTACGCTTGATTTTAACGAACAAACTTATTATTTTGAACTAAGATATCACTCTGTTTTTCACCTCCTTTTTTACATACTTATTTATATATTTAAACATTTTAAAAATAAACACATCCATGTTAAAAAGAAGTAAAAAAGAGAACGTCGAGATTCATCTTTGGTGGAAAAGTCAGTTGCGAACACTGATACTTCTTAAGTAGGCAAATTGGTGTCTTGGCCTTGGTCTAATCTGGTTTTAGAAAATTACGAACAATATCTTAAGTATTTTGACTTGGTTTTGTTCTTATCTAGGGTGAAACGTAGCAGATTACCTACATATATGCTCTTCAGTGACTTCTAAGTCAAATTAGGAAAAGTAGGAAAAGTTGTTATCAGTGAATTTTCTTTACGTTATAAATAGTTTTAAACAACTAGTGGACATTGAAGTTACTTACAACATCTTACAGTTTGTAGATATAATTTTAAATAAAAGATAATTATAAAAACATGAAATTATTCTATACTCATCTACTTGGTTGGATAGGTTAACAGCAAAAGATAGAAAATAAGCATATGATGCTCATTTGAAGATAGAGTTATTGCGACAAATACGATGTCAACTTAAGATACTATAGATATACGTAATCAGTATAATACAGTTATGAGAAAATAGCTGAAGTAGATTTCATAATATTTACCACACCTCTAAACATGTGATAAGCGCGAGATACAGATGGCACCTCCATTACCAAATATATATGAGTATTGTTTGGGAAAGTATGTAGTATTTATTTTCATATTTTATTATGGCATATTCTAAAGACGTTGCTTAAAAATATATTGTTTCCTGTTATTTCGTAAAATCGAATTGTTAAACTGGCTAGCTCATTTATTCTGTTTTAAGTTCAAAAAATTTGACTTTCTCTTTTGTTATTTTTGTGTCGATAATACACACAAAACGTGTAAAGAATCGTATTACTGTGACCATTGGATTGTATTATCGTTATTTAGGAGAGTCCTACAATAGGGTTGATTTATGAGATGCACTTGCCCTCGAGCTTTTGACTACCATGAGAACAGCCAGAGGGTTCTTTTTCTGACCATCTTAAGACACCACTTGATACTAGGACAGCGCACTGAAAACATTGAGTGTATCGGTTATGTCCTATCGAACCTCGGCGTCCCGACGTGGTACCAACATTACCTAACACTTCACGGGCTACCTCACGGGCTACAAATACACCAATGTTTTAAAAAGGTAGGTCTATATTCTTTGGACAGATAACAGTATAAGTTAAAGCCAGCTAATTCTAGTAATTTATTTACAGTTAGAGTTGCTATTTTGCGCTAATTTATTTACAGTGTAAAATATTGCATTTTTCTTCATTATTATTTCTAAATTCATTTAACCAGCGACCTTTAAGTTTTATACAAAACAAGTATTAACCTTCAAACGTCACACATTTCAAATTAAAATCAATCGAATCATTAGTTTACAGGTTATACTTGTAGTAATGCCCATTAAGAATTTTCAGAACAATGGAAAATCATAATTTCGTGTATTTAAAATTATTGCTTAGAAAAGAAACTTTAGAATCAAGAGACATTATGGATATCAAATGTAGTTCAAAGAACGATAAAAGAAAAGGGAAAATTGTATAATAAATAATAAAAAATAGACCTGACATAGGTAAATGTTCAAAATTATAGGTTCGTCAAAGCAAAAGTTAGTACTTAAGAAAGGTGCTTAGCAAAGGTGGTACCTTTGTATTAGATTCACTGAACACTGTTCCTCACAAGTTTACGCGGCTAGATAAACAGATAGTAGCTCTTTCAAGTGGAGCCTTAGTCTCCCTCTCTCCAATCAAGACCATAATGCATGTTGCAAGCCACGTCCTACATGGGGTAGCCCTTGTAGCGATAAGACTACCAAAGAGAATTTAAATACTATTATAAAAATAATACCTTAATCAACCATGGAAGCGTATCGTTTATGCTTTGCCTAGCTCAGTGTCTCAAGAATGAATTCGTCCTGTCTTAAACTAAAAATTAAACCATGAACCCTTAGCTAATAGCAAATAAAACAATTATTTAACTAGACATATTTATTTAAAAAAAATAATATATGTGGCAAAAGATAACCCTGCCAATGCTTTACAGTATATAAAATTTGGCGATACTTATGGCATCATAACATCGATGGGCTGCTTGCTACCAATTATCTGTGGCCTCCCAATTAGGTAATTAGGTATTCCAGAGTATAGTTGTGTGGCCTCCCAATTAGGTGGTTTTAGAAATATCCTATAAAATTCTGAATGCAGCTAATAAATTTTTAAACACCGCCAATCTGCAGTCCATAAAATGAAGCTTATAATAGTGTTTGCCTTCTTTAATAAATTTTAATTATAGACAAAAACATATCCCACTATGTCAGAAAAACTTATTTACATAAAGTAGGCGGAAGACTGAATGAAGTTAGCATAGATGTCACAGGATGTATGCTTATGATGTCTTCTCTGTCAACATAAAACAGAATATTTGGTCTACCAGACAGAAAGAGAGAGGACGAATATTTATTCTACGGGACAGAAAGAAAGATAAAAGATAGGCATAAGGCGTTAACTACATTTTGAAGAAAAAATAGTAAAAACGAAAATGGAGGTAAAGGAATTAATAAATTAATCAAGAAATTAAAATAAAATAATTATTTAAATCAAGAGTCCTTGAATTACCAGGGTTAAATAAAAAGTCTATCGAAAATTGTCAAGAGTTTATAAATAGCCGATGTCCCAAAGTCAAAAAACTTGTTTTGGACTCGATAAATGTTTTTTCCAGGGATATACCGTCGTTAAAGACGAATATCATCGTGGAAGGGATATGAAGGGGATAATTCTCGGATCAGCATTCCTTCCATACGATTATTCTGAATAACCACCACTAAAAAAAATAGAACATCTAGTGAGATCTTGTAGGATAAATGGAATGGAAGAAGGCGAGTAGTTTATCTGTTGTGTGATAAAAAAAATGAAATTTAGTAAAACGGCCAGAATATTAGCTTAATAAACGACATCACATCGAATGACAATAGCGCAAATGGGAATGTTTATAAGTACAGTAAAAAAAAAAAGAATAAAATTAACAATAAGTATATCAGAGGAAGTGTGGGTGTTACAGGAGATGATGCCAAAATCAAAGAGCATAAGGGTATTCTATTTTAATATTTTAAAAGTATATCCATCTTATAGAAGTGCCTTAGACTTCAGTCTTTTTTTGATAAATTTTGTGAAAAGTTAAGCAAACTGGTAGGAGGTTGGTTTTTTTAAATCTGTTATGTTTCCTGTCTTGTATAATAAAACGATGTCAGCATTATTCTATTAAGAAGGGATTTTTCCTTGGTAGATGCATTCAGTGAAAAATTTGGCCAAAGCCTGGATAATATTATTTCCATCTAATTTGATCGCCTTGATGACTACTCCATCATCGCCATTAGATTTGTTATTTTCCATTTGTAAAAGTGTTTTTTATGTCTCAATGACTTCTTATTATGTTTTGTTTTTGTATCTTATTTTTTGTATCTTATGTACATACTTTTGTTGTCTGTTGTTCGTATTTCACATCAAAACTATTAAACTTTTGCTTTCTTGATTTATTTTAGTTATTTCCTTTATATTGTTTTCTATTAAGTCTTTTTATATTGATAGGTTGATATTTTTATTTAATTTCTTCATTGTTGTGTAGTTGTAGTCCCATTCTTCTATTAGCTGTCTTTTTTTACCTATTAGCTCTTTGGTATTTTGGCTTACTGTTTCTTTATGGGTCACAATAATTGAGCAACACCTCTTTTAGTGTCATCGTTATGCCAAAATATAATAATTTTAATCATATAAATAAGTTCTTAATTTATTAGAAGTATCTTAAATACATGTGTAAACAAAAGTAAAATTAAAAAGTAAAATAGTAATAATATAAGTAAAATAAATTTCGAAGTATACATATAAGTTTTATCCTATTATAATAAACCTCGTAATGTTTTTTTTGTAGAAACATAATTGTATGTTAAAGCTGACAATCTTGGTATTCTTATCCTATTAGGGTCGTTAAAATCTACATAGTTGAGTCCATATCTGACCCTAAAAAAAAAATATAAAAAACTTTACCTCACCTTGAACTTATTCATTTTAAAAATGTAGATAAAAATAAATGCTACCCAGAAAGAATGGTTATAATTAATAAAGAAAGAAAATCATTTGTCTAAATTTCTTATAAAAAGAGAGTTTTATGGAATATTGAAATTTATCGACGTTAATTAATAGCGATAGTCAAGAGAAATAAGGTAAAAAAGGTTTTTTAGTTTTATGAACCTCGATAACCAACACCTACATGTTTTCTGCACTTTGTTTGGTGGTCTTTTAAAATTATTACTAATTTATGGTCAAAAATGCACCATAGAACCAAAGAATATAGACGCAAGCGTCTATATTCTTTGATAGAACTTTTGTCTATCAGCGAAAAAAAGCAATTTTAAGGTAATTCTTTGATAAGATGGCAATTTTTAAAAGTTGATTTAGTGATTTCTTGCTTAAAAAAACTAAAAACTTAATAATTCTTAATTTTCAATAAGTTGTAATAAATATTGCAAAAATTAAACCTATAGTTTTAATTTTTAGTGGAGTTGGCTTGTATTGTTAAAAATAGCGTAAAAATTTCAATTCATCAATTATTTTAAAAGTTATTCAATTTGTTATCTCAAACAACTTTTTTTTTCAATAACATAAGTCAGAAAAAATAGCCATACAATGATTCAACGGGTAGCATAAACAAGAGAGAGATAGTTATTTTATAAAAAAATCTAAACAAAGTTAGAAAGAACCATTTCCAACATTACAAAATTTGATTGCAGAAACATTGTATGCCGACTTCATCTTGAGTTAGAAATAATTAGTAAACATTCATTGGCCTAGCGTTTTTGATTTTGTATTCCGTATGGGTATCTGATGCCGAGATGACGTCATAACACTCTGTTTATTATAGACTCAAATACAAGAGGGCGCATTCTTCTCCTACCCCGTATATTGGCTTTATTAATCAAAGAGATAGCAAGCTTTTGCTGAAAGATGTACTTTGGGTATATATATACCCAAAGTACATCTTTCAGCAAGATACTCCTCCATAGATCCCTTCCGATAGGGATCTATGCATATTCTAGACTAAGCCGCAGATTCATTTAGCCCTTTAAACTGCTGCGTTAGCCTTTTTGTTTTCTGTACACCGAGCTGGGGATTGAACTGTCACTACTACTCTCACTGTAGTAGTGACAGCGCAGTGATCAGTGAACAGTTTAGAAGTGTCTGGAGGCTCGGGTGACTGAGACCTCTAAGCCCTGAGGAAGGCATCAGAGAGGATGCCGAAAGCTCGGCAAAATGGATATCGACGCGGTTCAACCCGGAAGACTGGTGAGTTTGATATTAATTTTAGTAATAATATTAATCTTAGCTCTAGGTTTCATTGTACTAACCGCGGAAATCTTTCCGAACACATATATATATATATATATATATATATATATATATATATATATATATATATATATATATATATATATATATATATATATATATATATATATATATATATATTTATATATATACATAGATATATATATATATATATATATACATATATATATATATATATATATATATATATATATATATATATATATATATATATATATATATAAAGTTATTTACGAAATACAAAAATAATTATTTTAAAGTACTTACGAGTATCCTTTGTCCCACTCAAAATTATCCATCAAACTCCAAAAGGTATACGCTGTTACATGAACATTATCTTCATTAATACTTTTCCATAATTGTTGTAGACTAGCCTAAAATTATCATGTGGAAATAGAAATTAAAGCATCATTACAACGTAACTTCAGTTCGGTAATATTTTTATATTGTTATGGGTTAAAGATAGTTACTTAGATCTCTTAAAAATTATGAGGATTAATGGCTGGAATTTCATTTTATGGGTGGATCGTGTGACTAATGTTGAGGTCCTACGTAGAATAGGTAAGGAATGCGAGATTACTAACACCATCAAAGAGCGCAAACTAGAATATCTTGGCCATGTTATGAGGAATGAACAGAGATACGGCTTGTTGCAACTCATTAATCAGGGCAAGGTATTTGGAAAGAGAGGACCAGGGAGAAGAAGAATATCTTGGCTTCAAAACCTGAGAAAGTGGTTTAATACATCGACAACCGGACTATTCAGAATAGCAGCAAGCAAAGTTAGGATAGCCATGTTGATCGCCAACATCCACAACGGATGGGCACCGTAAGAAGAAGAAGAAGAATGGCTGTTAGTTCTTGTATTTTAATAAAAATATCTGAAACAATTGATAACTGTATTATATGAATTAATTATTAAATCTGTGGAAACAAAGCAATTAACGTTTTTTTTTTGCGGGCTGTCGAATAAACAGAGATCCTTCTTACGCTCTCCTTATTTGAAGTTTGTTAAATGTTGGTTTCGCCCAGAGCTTCTTTGACCTACATCTTTATCGAGCACCATGGCGTTTGGGATATTAAATTTGTTCTTTCGTAGAATATTGCCATATAAGTATGAACATTTTTACTGCTTAACAAAATTCAACAATTCTCTTTGGACATTAGCTCTTCACAGGATCTCATCATATATGTTACATGGTCCACCCATAATACTCTAGGCTGCTATATGAGACACCACATTTCGACTCTTATTTCCGTATGTCAGGATGGTATGGTGATACGACTTCACGATAACAGACGTTTGTAGTCATTGCTACTATTATCTTCTCTTTCAGGTTACAGTCTCACTTGTTTTTTAATGTAGCTCCAACGTATTTTAATCTTTTAACCCGTTGAGCAGCTCTAGTATTTATATTCAACCGAGCTTTCATATGAGATTTTCTGCTGGTTACTATATGTTTGGATTTTGCTATATTAATGTTAATGCTTTACTCGTCTCTCACTGTATTTTCATGATATTTAGTTAATCTTGCAACCTTTCTATACCGTCTGCTATTGTAACCGTACCGTCAACATGTTTTAGGTTATTATTAGAAAAACCATTTTGATGTTTCTTTCGTTCTGTTGTGTAAGCTAAAATATATTTTCTACATAAATATTGAATAGTAATGGAAAGACAATACAACCCTGTCTTACGCTATTCCCTATCTCCATTTCTTTATGTACAGGCCGTCGACGAATCTTAGGCCCGCTATTTGATTCCAATATAGTGATTGAATTATTATTATGCCTTTGTCATCGAACCCAATTTTGTTTTACGTATGTATCAAAAGTTCATAAACTTTTGTTATTCAATAAATTAATTAATGTTAATTAAATGCAACATATTTTATGGCCGTAGCATTTCTACATTGGCAACTTCATGTGAAAGTGCTTCTCTTGATCCAAACCATTTTTGAAACCAAACTGAGTATTTCCTATTCTTTCTTCACATTCATTATAAATTTGCTTATCTAGGTATTATTTTTAGTAATGCCTTTAGTCAGTGGCTTATTAAGGTATTTAAACGGTGTTCTTCGCAGCGACTAACATTGTGTTTTTTTTGTATTGTCGCGAAGGTTGATTTTAGTCAATCTGTTGGTATTTGCCTCCTGTCCTTTATATGTTGTGAAACAGTTTCCTTAATCGTTTAATGTCAAAAAACTTAAGGATTATCGCATTTATATCATATGTTTCAACAGCATTATGGTTTTTTAAACCAGACATTGCATATTCTAGTTCGGGCTATAATTAATAGCGGTGGTCCAGTTTATTCTATGTTGTTATCCTAAGCATTTACGGATCGAGGTAGAATTTATGGAGAGGGCCTCACGTGATTAAAAACGACCTCACTTCGGCCATATTGTTAAGATTGTTTAGACAGATCGTATATGTTTGTTTACGTTTGTTGTTTTTCGAACATTTTTAGTTTTATGATACTTTTATAGAAACTGTAATAATATATTGTGATAGTGATTAAGATTAAGATGGGCAGGCCACGTGGTACGGAGTGATGACGACAGACTGATTAGCAATGTATTTTGGGAAAGACCAGATGGTAAAAGATCGACAGGAAGGCCTAGAAAAAGGTGGAAAGACGCTGTCAGGGAAGACCTGGAGAAGATGGAAGTAAGGCCATGGGAAATAATAGCACAGGATCGGAATCAATGAAAGGCAATAGTAAACGCGGCAAAAACTCACGAAGAGTTGTAAAAGCCAATGATGATGATGATGATGATAGTGCATGATAACGGTTTCTTATTCTCAACGTAGTCGCAGTAGCAGAAGCAATGTTAATAAAAAATCTTCAGGAATATAGTTCCACACGTTAGTATACAAATATGTAAAAAATGTAATGGCCCGTACTTCTGAGAATAAATTAATAGTATTTGTATTAATTTATCTGTATGTATAAATAAAACATAGTTTATTAAAAATGTATTTCACTTTTTTAGATTATGATTGATTAAGTCTTCTAAATAACTAGTCATATTTTTATAGTAGTTTTGTTTGTTTTCGGCCGGCCCTAATACCACCGCTATATTCTTATGATCGTTAGCGACGCCTACCTACGCCGTTTTTAATACACACGTTAATATGCTCATAGCTTCTCCATAGATTCTAACTCGATGCATTTACGTTACGATTGTCAGATAAAAGATCTAATGCATATTCTATCTATGCATATAATGCAATTCTGCGTTTGCCAGAATTCACATCGTTTTGCCATTTTACTAAAATGTAATGCTGTTGTTTGTTGTTATTTTTAAATACTTTGTTTTCCTCAAAAAGATTTTTTATGAAAGTTAAAAGAGCCACATATAAAAATAAGCAGTTCTGATTCTTCAGTTTTTAACTATCCTATCTAATACCCTAAGTTTGTCTCGCTTATTTTTTTTTTCACTATTCTATTAAGGCTAATCCTCGATAATTGTAACGGTAAAATTCAGAGAGATGTCTATTTCAAAAATATCTTTCTTTACAAAAACAAAATCCATTCACGAAGAATATTCTAAACGTCATGTTGTACTAGAGGTAAGCTTTATACCTACCTTATACAACCCCCTATTGTGTAAAGTCTTGGGTCTATACAATAAACGACTGGGCGGCCTTCTATTCAGTGTGGTTTTGAAATAATGTTGAATAAAAACATTCATGAAATTAAAATGAAAGAATTTACGTCTATTAGTAGAAGTGCGATTTATAAAATTAGTACCTACTTGAAGCATAAATCGCGGGAGGAATATGTGCATCAGTTTTCAAATATTTATTATTTACTATATAATTTCTAAATTGAACCACTTTCACTTCTTTAGTTAACAATGTATCTGTTTTGACAACTAAATAGGTAATTAGACAAAATAATTATTAATTTCAAAACAGGAGTTTAAAGAATTAGAAAGAGGTAGCCCGGGCCCAGTTAAATGGTCAAGCTTATTCCAGTGGAAACAATAAGGAGGATTATTTTTCGTTTTGGCACAGCTGACATGCTCTCTCTAGTACTACAACCCATGAAACTGTGGTAAAAAGCATGCTTTATTTATACGGTTGTGAAACACGACGATTAACAGAGACAGATTAATATCGAAGAAAGATATCTCGTCGAACTTAATGCAATAAAGTATGAGAATAGAAGGTACAGTCATGGATGGCATACAACGAAAGCAGCTCAAATGGGTACAGGTCCAATAAATGAAAGACAAGAGACTCCTAAAACAAGTACCTGTATAAACACCTACCGTAATCCAGAAGAGAGGATTACCTTAGAAAATACGGATGGAAGGAATAAGAAACTTAATGAGCTCGAAAGAACTTAAAGAACAATGGAACAACCGAATTGAATGAAAAATGAACGTCGGAAGACATTTTATAAGGATTATATCATATTATAGGTACATTTTTTGGACTAAAAATAAATTTGAAGAAAACCAAGTTCATGGTATTTACAAAAGCACAAAGCATCAAAGTTAAGCTACTACTAGATAATACAGAAATTGAACAAATATCTTTGTACAAATACATTGGAGCATGGATCACAGAAGATACTGATTAGACAAAAGAAATAAGATGCCGCATTGGAATTGCACGGTCAACTTTTAATAGAACGAGAAAACTTTTTTGTAATCGAGATATCAAGATATCGCTCCGGATAAGAATGCTTTGATGTTATATTTTCTTTACCCTTTTATATGGGATTCAAGCTTGGTCACGGATTGCAAAACAACCGAACAAGTTCTCGAACAACTAGGAAAACAATGCGAAGTTTTAAATTCCATAAAAATCAGGAAATTAGAATACTTGGGGCACATCATACATCACACATCAAGACGTAAAATCTAGTGGTTACGTAATCTCCGTGAATGGTTTGGATGCAATTCAACTGAACTATTCAGGCGCATATCCAATAAAATGATAATTGCCAGAATGATTTCCAATCTCCGATAGGAGTGGAACTTGAAGAAGAAGAATAAGTACATTATTATTATATCATATTATATATATATATATATATATATATATATATATATATACATATATTTATATAATATATGATATAAACGATATTGAAAGAGGTTACAACATAGACAATCAACAAAATCTACATCGACAACTACACAGTGAACACCCAACAATAATAGAAGTGTCAAATGCCGTCCTAAAACTCAAAGACAATAAAGCCACAGGAATCGATTAAATCTGTTGGAAAATATATAAAAAAAGGTGATGATCAGCTTTTTGCAGTAACCCATAAACTAATAGTACTTATATGGCAAAATGAATTTGTTCCAGAAGAGTGGCTAAATGAAATAATATACGTTGCATAAAAAGGACG